CTTTCTTTCTTAAAAGAAGGGGAACTCGATGTTATTGTTCCTCTTCCTAAAAAGGATATATATTAATGGCGTGAATAATTACATCATAGGTATTACATTTTCGAAAAATTTAACAAATCTTTTTTTCAATAATTGATATTGATATTCGGCCAGACTCTTTAGATAAAATTGTCAAAGAGCAGGCTGACCTAAAAATGGGTACTCAAGCATTGATAATATGTTTATACTACAGAATATTACAATAATAAAGAAGATTAAAACATAACCAATGTTATATTTTGGATAACACTTTCTTAGTAAAGTATAGACTCTCCGGTACTCGAACCAACACTGCCAGATTGAGGCACCTAATCACCAGCACCTAACCCACTCAGCCCCTAAGACTTCCACTAAATGAAAGCCCGACAACTGGTAGTCTAGATCACGTACTTCGTGTACCCCTCTGACAAGTGTAAATTGGAACGGCTCCCATAGCCGAAAGTTATGAACACACAATGTCATTTAGAAAGTAGTCAAATGTAACAAATGTTATATTTGGGATGACACTTTCTTAGTAAAGTACAGTTTCTCGTACTGTTTAGGGTTGAGTCCCGTCCGGGACTAGAACCCACACTGCCAGACTGAGGCACCTAATCGCCACTACACAAACGCATGCTCAAAACTTTCTTCCATGGCCAGGCGGTTCCACAAATTATATTCTGATCATACTCGGGTCTGTACACAACACACATGATTGATGATTTTTCTTGCAGAGATATATGTATCTTTATGCCCAGTATCGTTTTGGTAAAGTTTGTAATTTGTGTTAGGCCCAATCCAATTTTGAAGTGTACATGCTTTATTTTGACCGACATTTAAGTATACGAAATTGTCAAATATAGTTTGCATGTTGTAGTTAGATAGATAATTTATTCATACAAAACTGTGAGGCCACAGACTCAATGTATACAGCATTTAGGAAACGGTTGTATTTACATACACAAATATCTTATTTACATGTCATGATAAATATACATGGACAAATTTGGTATAACATAAATGTTATCTGAAGATATGAGTGAGACAAATATGATGATATTTTGATTGACATAAAACTGTCTTTTTAAGTATATACTTCTAAGATCATCATATTTATATCATATCAACAGCTATAATATATATAATTGTATGTCTTCCCAATTCAATCATATGTGGGAACTACCTCAAAACTGTTCAAATCCTTTATTCTGGTTGTATTCAGTTGTATGCGTTCTAAAATCAGTTCATATTGCATTTAGACGCATTTGCTCGGAAATAACTTCAAAATGACAAAATTGTAAGAAATATTATTTTGTAGACGGTACCATCGGGGCAACATATACTGACATCCTTTGTTGTCCCGTTTGCAAGGCGTAGGAGTTGACCGTACACGAATCGTCAATGCTCGCCTCCAGCAGGTATTGTACTAATGAACGAATACATTACAATCGGGAGTGAAGTATGACAGCAGATGTTATGACCTCCAACGATTTTGAAGGACGTTATGGACAAAAGTGTGAATTTTCAAAGTTTACGTTTATTAATCATTAGTACGTAACAGCGCCACACTTTGTCAAATATTTAATGGCCACCAACGTCTTGAAAGAAAGGGGCGAAGGTGGGAATTTTCAAATTTTACGTTTATTAATCATTAGAACGTAACAGCGCCACACTTTGTCAAATATTTAATGGCCACCAACGTATTGAAGGACAATAGGGACGAAGGTGGGAATTTTCAAAGTTTACGTTTATTAATCATTAGTACGTAACAGCGCCACCTTTGTCAAATATTTATTGGCCACCAACGATCTTGAAGGACGATAGGCACGAAGGTGGGAATTTTCAAAGTTTACGTTTATTAATCACAAGAACGTAACAGCGCCAAACTTTGTCAACTATTTATTGACCACCAACAATCTTGAAGGACAATAGGGATGAAAGTGGGAATTTTCAAAGTTTACGTTTATTAATCATTAGTTCGTAACAGCGCCACACTTTGTCAAATATTTATCGACACGGCGACGTGTACTACGTTTCTGTCTCCCAATGGTGATTTGGGGGAGTCTTTTCCCACTTCTCCTGTAGCGCCTGACCAAGTTCAGTCCACTTGGTCTGCGACCTTTGACGCTGACTCAGATGGGGAAAGGTCTGTTCTCATTGCTGACCCTGGCATTCTTTGGTTGTTGTGCTGCTGGAGGTTAGCATTGACATTTCGTGCAAGGTGAGCACGGGCGTTGTCCTGAAAAACAAAACGTCGACCCACATGCAAACGGGACAATGAACTGTGTCAGTATGTTGTCCTTATAGTCTAGTCTGGTAGACTTGCAGTCATAATGATGTCACCCACACCATACCCGATTCACTGCCAAATATTTCATTAGGTCTCCGGTTGACACTGGCTTGACGTTCATTTCTACATTGCAGACAGGACCGCGCCTATCAAGGCAGTGCAGAGTGCTTCGGGACTCATCTGAAAACGTGACACATGACCAGCGACGATTACCCCACTTCTGTCTGCCGTCCTGGCCGATGAGCTGTGCTTGTAGATGATTTCTAATCATCTGTCCCGTAACTTTGACTCCCGTAGCCTGCTGAAAGGTTTGCGACAATTTGATTCGCCCTTGAGCTCGATTTCGTAGAGTCTGGTTCCTGGTCAACTGATCTTGTACTCCACTTGTTGACCTTCGATCATCTTGCTTTTAGGTTTGTTTGTATCTGTTCCATAGTCTGCTAATCACAGACTGTCAAACGTTGAGTGCACGCTGCCTTCAGCCAGTTTCCAGCGTGCAAATAACCCATAGACGCCCCTCGCATTGCAGACTAGTTCATACACAAACAACTCAAGTAATTCAAAACTGTATGTAAAGAAGAATCGATCAGAATAGTATACTTTTTATGAACGTCAAAATACATAGTGACACCCTCACTCTGTGTGTGCGTGTGCGTGTGCGTGTGCGTGTGCGTGGCTACTGCGTGGGGGACGTGCAAACTATAGGATGTGTTACGTTTAAATTTACAGACATTAACGTTCTTGCATACGAAGTTTCTCCTCAACACTTATATTTGTTCTAATACTTGGTCATTATCATAATCCCCTACTTTTGTAAGAGTAATTGTAAGGGTCAACACGGAGAGTTTGCTTACACGCGTGTGGCTCCTGCCACCATTTTCTTGTGCATATTTTCATTAAGTGTCATAAACATATACAACTCTTATATTAAACAGACAGAAAAGCAGACATAAAAAACGCAAAAAATAGTGACAAGATAAATATTGTGATATATATTTAGTATATCTATTTATCAAAACTTCTAAAAATCAATCGTTTGGTTCAGCTGTTTAGCTTGTAGAGGCGATGTGTTTGAAGATCCCAGCAACAATCTTCTACGCTGACGTCACATAGCATTGTTTCACGGATGTATGTATCTGCCACATTTTCCGAATTGAGTCGGAGGGTATTGTAACAAGCTTCGTGGCACTAAAGGTAGGATGCTATCTGTTTGGTAGGTACGACCGGATTATCCAGGGTCGATATAAAATACATGTACGAGGGAGCATGCAAGGTGTGTTTTGGTTGGTTTATAATTCAATCAGAACCTGCTTAAAAACCAGTTTCAAGTCAATATTAGTAAGGTGGGTATTTGACAAATCAGAAAATAAGTATTCAATTACAAACATGAACTTCCTATGAGAGGTCAGCTTATCTTATCAGATGACGTGAAAATCCATATGTTCTGAAATCTGTAATTCTCTATGTGTCTTTCATTCCATTGCCGTGTGCGTTACATATAAGTTAACTTCTTGAGGTCGATACAACTTCATTATGTCAATAAGAAACATTGTCAGGGGCTGCTCGTATTTCCTGCATCCTTTAATTAGACTGTCGCAGCTGCCATAATTGGTTTTCTCAATGATGCACTATTGACAGAAGTTGGAGGCTGCATACATGTTATATCTCCTCTATGGCCTTGGGGGATATTTCTGATCTATGACTGAATGATATAAAGGTCTAGGCCAATCAGTATGAACTAATGGGCCGAAAGGGGAAAACAATAGTTTTGGCTAAACTTATATTTGATTGGTTTAATTTTAGTTTTGAGGTAAGGAGTAATACTAGTGGTAACGATAGGTTTAATGCTCAAGTTCGAGGGTGAGGATTTTATACAGGTTTCTCATAATGCTTGGTACTTATGTTATGTAATAGTATTTTGTGTCACAAAGTCAATAGCATGATACTAGACTAGTGAGGGTGAATATTTTACGGTTAGGGTTAGGGTTAGGGTTAAGGTGACCTTATGCAGGTGTAATGTAGTAGTAGCATTTTCTCCAAGTCGAAGATAATGGTATGATACTTTAATAAATTGTGGCATTGCTGGAAATTCTGGTGTAGGGCCTGCTTCTGCAGATTAATTTCTTGTTAGTTACGTGTTTAATATCAGTCAAGCCATTTAGTTCTTTTCATTACAAAAAGTATCAATAATTTCAATTCTGACAGCAATGGCTGGTTTTGTTGGTAGTTTTAACTGCTGGCTAAACATGCGGGAACCATGCTATGAACCTTGGTTATATCCCCATGTATTTGTTAGACAAGAAGGTAGATAGGATTGGAGAGATAGACAGTGTAGGTTACCTGAAGATAGTATGGTGATGTGGTAGACAAGAAGGTAGATAGTATAGATATAGGTTGTATCCCCAGATCTGTGTTATGTATCCATGGTGGAAGGTTAATCAATGCAAATATATTCCACAGTTATGGTTACTTTCAGTTGAAGGTTTTGCGAGGCAGCAGTTTAGGTCTACAAATTAAAACCAGCTATAGATACAGAAAAGACATACATTTTTCCTGCATCCAGGTACTTCATCCACATAATTCTCCAGCTAATCATTGCAATGTTGGAGCTAGTAAAAAATATAAATCAATTCAAAACAGCCTCGTCGCGATATCACGTCAAGCAGGCATTAGTGGTATATCTCTGCACATGTGAAAATGAATGTTGTATGCATGACATCAGTATTGGCATCGCTTTCTGTGGTGTTGTCCTTGGAAGGACCTTTCGGCAAAATCACACACATGTGCTATGGAGGCTTCTACACAGTCAAACATACACATACTTACATCAGTTGTGTGAATTTCTGCTGGTTCTCCAGACGATGTAAGGCTGTTAACTGGGTCAGTAAATCCAGAGAATGTCGCCTCCATGACTCAGCACTCGCCGACCCATCTCAGACCACGACAGACCCCCGATGTATCAGTACAGAGGTACACACGTCACATATGGTAGGTAGTTTGATGTTGTTATGGAAAGGTACATGAAGGTAGAATGATATGTATAACTTGCAGAGGATGGCACAGAGGCAGACCTTGTAGGGTACCTGAATATTGTAAGATGATATGGTAGACAAGAAGGTAGATAGGATGGGAGAGATAGACATTGTAGGGTACCTGGAGATTGTAAGGTGATATGGTTGACAAGAAGATAGGTAGGATGGGAGAGATAGACATTGTAGGGTACCTGGAGATTGTAAGGTGATATGGTAGACAAGAAGGTAGGTAGGTAGGTAGGGAGAGATAGACATTGTAGGGTACCTGAATATTGTAAGGTGATATGGTAGACAAGAAGGTAGATAGGATGGGAGAGATAGACATTGCAGGGTACCTGGAGATTGTAAGGTGATATGGTAGACAAGAAGGTAGATAGGATGGGAGAGATAGACATTGCAGGGTACCTGGAGATTGTAAGATGATATGGTAGACAAGAAGGTAGATAGGATGGGGGAGATATACATTGTAGGGTACCTGGAGATTGTAAGATGATATGGTAGACAAGAAGGTAGATAGGATGGGAGAGATAGACATTGTAGGGTACCTAGAGATTGTAAGGTGATATGGTAGACAAGAAGGTAGGTAGGTAGGGAGAGATAGACATTGTAGGGTACCTGGAGATTGTAAAGTGATATGGTAGACAAGAAGGTAGATAGGATGGGAGAGATAGACATTGTAGGGTACCTGGAGATTGTAAGGTGATATGGTAGACAAGAAGATAGGTAGGATGGGAGAGATAGACATTGTAGGGTACCTTGAGATTGTAAGGTGATATGGTAGACAAGAAGATAGGTAGGATGGGAGAGACAGACATTGTAGGGTACCTGGAGATTGTAAGGTGATATGGTAGACAAGAAGGTAGGTAGGTAGGTAGGGAGAGATAGACCTTGTAGGGTACCTGAATATTGTAAGATGATATTGTAAGATGATATTGTAAGGTGATATGGTAGACAAGAAGGTAGATAGGATGGGAGAGATAGACATTGTAGGGTACCTGGAGATTGTGAGGTGATATGGTAGACAAGAAGATAGGTAGGATGGGAGAGATAGACATTGTAGGGTACCTGGAGATTGTAAGGTGATATGGTAGACAAGAAGGTAGATAGGATGGGAGAGATAGACATTGTAGGGTACCTGGAGATTGTAAGATGATATGGTAGACAAGAAGGTAGATAGGATGGGGGAGATATACATTGTAGGGTACCTGGAGATTGTAAGATGATATGGTAGACAAGAAGGTAGATAGGATGGGAGAGATAGACATTGTAGGGTACCTGGAGATTGTAAGGTGATATGGTAGACAAGAAGGTAGGTAGGTAGGGAGAGATAGACATTGTAGGGTACCTGGAGATTGTAAGGTGATATGGTAGACAAGAAGGTAGATAGGATGGGAGAGATAGACATTGTAGGGTACCTGGAGATTGTAAGGTGATATGGTAGACAAGAAGATAGGTAGGATGGGAGAGATAGACATTGTAGGGTACCTGGAGATTGTAAGGTGATATGGTAGGCAAGAAGATAGGTAGGATGGGAGAGATAGACATTGTAAGGTACCTGGAGATTGTAAGGTGATATGGTAGACAAGAAGGTAGGTAGGTAGGTAGGGAGAGATAGACATTGTAGGGTACCTGAATATTGTAAGATGATATGGTAGACAAGAAGGTAGATAGGATGGGAGAGATAGACATTGTAGGGTACCTGGAGATTGTAAGGTGATATGGTAGACAAGAAGGTAGGTAGGATGGGAGAGATATACATTGTAGGGTACCTGGAGATTGTAAGGTGATATGGTAGACAAGAAGGTAGGTAGGTAGGGAGAGATAGACATTGTAGGGTACCTTGAGATTGTAAGGTGATATGGTAGACAAGAAGGTAGATAGGATGGGAGAGATAGACATTGTAGGGTACCTGGAGATTGTAAGGTGATATGGTAGACAAGAAGGTAGATATGATGGGAGAGATAGACATTGTAGGTTACCTGGAGATTGTAAGGTGATATGGTAGACAAGAAGGTAGATAGGATGGGAGAGATAGACATTGTAGGGTACCTGGAGATTGAAGGGTGATGTGGTAGACAAGAAGGTAGATAGGATGGGAGAGATAGACATTGTAGGGTACCTGGAGATTGTAAGGTGATATTGTAGACAAGAAGGTAGATAGGATGGGAGAGATAGACATTGTAGGGTACCTTGAGATTGTAAGGTGATATGGTAGACAAGAAGGTACATAGGATGGAAGAGATAGACAATGTAGGTTACCTGGAGATTGTAAGGTGATATGGTAGACAAGATGGTAGATAGGATGGGAGAGATAGACAATGTAGGTTACCTGGAGATTGTAAGGTGATATGGTAGACAAGAAGATAGATAGGATGGGAGAGATAGACATTGTAGGTTACCTGGAGATTTTAAGGTGATATGGTAGACAAGAAGGTAGATAGGATGGGAGAGAGATAGACATTGTAGGGTACCTGGAGATTGTAAGGTGATATGGTTGACAAGAAGATAGGTAGGATGGGAGAGATAGGCATTGTAGGGTACCTGGAGATTGTAAGGTGATATGGTAGACAAGAAGGTAGGTAGGTAGGTAGGGAGAGATAGACATTGTAGGGTACCTGGAGATTGTAAAGTAATATGGTAGACAAGAATGTAGGTAGGATGGGAGAGATAGACATTGTAGGGTACCTTGAGATTGTAAGGTGATATGGTAGACAAGATGTGAGGTGAGGTGAAATTGGGTTTAACGTCGCGTCCAAGATTATTGCACTTATATAGCGACGTGCATGCACGTGTATGTGTGTTTGTGGCTGCTTGTACTAGTCCGGACTGATGCCGATTTATAGTGCTAGCTCACTGAGATACCATGCCGCAGTTTAACATGAATACCCCACTCAGACACAGTATACTGACTCCGAGCCGACCAGTCCTTGTTTTAGCCCCTTAATGCCGAGCGCCAGACAGGGTAACAACAAGTACAATCTTTTAACGTCTTTTTGTATGACGCGGCCCGGGATCGAACCCCGGACCTTCCGCTCTCCGGGCGGACGCTCTACCACAAGACCACGGAGGCGGTCTGGTAGACAAGAAGGTACATAGGATGGAAGAGATAGACAATGTAGGTTACCTGAAGATTGTAAGGTGATATGGTAGACAAGAAGATAGATAGGATGAGTGAGTGAGTGAGTTAATATTTAACGTCACATCGGCAGTATTTCAGCCATATCGTGACGAGAACTGATATAAAATACAAATATTTGAATGGATTAAATATCTGTCATCGAAGGACAGTAAAAATAACTAGAGTATCACAGTTTTGATTTTAAAACTAGTTGAGGACATTAAAAAGAATACATTTTCAATCAACAATACAATATAAAAATGGGCTATAGATCACCAGCAACCAAAGTTAGGCCACCTTACTGGTGACCGTGGGGACTTACAATACTTTTGCTACCTGCACGACTCCCCAGCAGGATTTACACCATCCCTTCAGCCGCTGGTGATTATATGCAATTTAGCCAACACTTAAAATAAACGAATATTCTACGTCTAAAACTGTGGCAAGAATAAATGTACTTTGAATGATGTGGTCTGACATATCCTCTCAGGGGGACAATAATTTTACGTTACTTCAACCCCCTTCAAGGATACAGCCACTAACAATCTCAGGCATCAACTTTATTTTACCAATTATAAAAACTATATTATATACAAAACATATCAATCAAAATTTATGTAACAATTCAATTTCTTTTAAAAAGGCAAGAATTAAACGAGCATTGATACTAAAAAGATCCTTTAAGGATGAAACTTTGAAATATTTATCCCTTGTGATGGAAAAATCAACACAATCAAGCAGGACATGCTTGACGGTGATTCTCACATCACAAGGGATACAAAATGGAGGATCCTCACCTTTTAAAAGATATTCATTTGTATATCTTGAATGGCCAATACGACATCGTCGCATAATGACCTCTTCAAACCTGGACTGACAGCCCAAGTAGGTGTAACCGATATTTGGTTTAATTTCATGTAATTTATTTATACCCACTTGGGTGTCCCACTTCTTCTGCATTAGATCACTGATATAACATCTAATAACAGGTTTATAATCACTGTAGGGTAGAAGAAGTGGTGTCACAGATTTGTTGAGTGCTGCTTTTGCAGCAGCATCAGCCATTGTGTTACCAACGATTCCTACATGGCTGGGTAACCAACAGAAAACGATGTCGTATTGGCCAGTAGCTAGATCATTGTATAATTCGACAATTTCGAGCAAAAGTGGATGTGTACTGGACATATTGTGAATAGCCTGAAGACATGAAAGAGAGTCTGAAAATATTATGAACTTCTTATGCTTAGATTGATTTTGAATGTATTTAAGAGCTGTTAAGATGGCATGTGCTTCTGCCGTGATAATTGAACTGTCATGTGGCAACCTGGACGATATTGTTCTGGATCCAATGACAGTAGCGCTAGCAACTGCGTCACCATCCTTGGATCCATCTGTAAAAATAGATTTGTATGTATCATATTTAGTTCTCAGTTGATGGTATTCTTGTTGATAAATTAGGGGATTAGTTTGTGATTTCTTTAGTTGTGTGAGTGTCAGGTCTACTTCGGGCTTTATAAGTTGCCAAGGAGGTGAAGACAGAAGGCGGTAAGGAGAAATATTTTCAAGGTGTAAATTTGCATCAGAAATTGCAGTTTTCAACCTTATTCCAAGAGGGGGAATAAGAGAAGATTTCTTTGGGTAGAGGTCTTCATATAGGGGGTGAAAAACGCAATCATATGCAGGGTTTGACTGATTTGAAGATAATTTGGTAATATACTGTAAAGATAATTTTAGACGTCTGAGTTTTAGTGATGGTTCATCAGCCTCTACATATAAACTGTTAATTGGAGAAGTTCTGAAGGAGCCAAGGCAGAGCCGTAGTCCTTGGTGATGTATAG